TATCTATCTATTGATCTATCTATCTATCTATTTGATCTATCTATCTATCTATCTATCTATCTATCTATCTATTGATCTATATCTATCTATCTATTGATCTATCTATCTATTGATCTATCTATCTATTGATCTATCTATCTATTGATCTATCTCTATCTATTCTATCTATCTATCTATTGATCTATCTATCTATTGATCTATCTATCTATTGATCTTATCTATCTATTGATCTTCTCTATCTTTATCTATCTATCTATTGATCTATCTATCTATTGATCTATCTATCTATTGATCTATCTATCTATTGATCTCTCTATTTATCTTGATCTATCTATCTCTGATCTCTCTATTTATTGATCTCTCTATATATTAATCTGTCTATCTCTCTTCGCTCTTTCTTTACAGTAAGTCTAGATAAGTGATTATTTCGAAGTTGGATATAGATATAAAGGAAGCGAAAATCGGACAAAATCAGTGACCACTTATTTATTTACATGAGTGATTACGAATATAAATACAATTTAAACTAGATAAAGCAAATTTGACATATCATTGTAAAAGAAAATATATTCATTAATATCCAAAATAATTGATAAGGTACAATCAAAGAAACCGGTACTGACCCTCATGTATTCCTCCGCCGTTACAGTAACTCCTGTCTCATCGCGAGAAATTTCAATCAGTGTGTCGTCTGACGTAATCGGTGAAGGTTGTGTCTTGCAATTTTGCGTGTGTTTGTTGTTAAGTGTTAGTATTGTTTTCAGTGTACTCAGTTTACCTTTGAGTGTGAGCTATTATACAGTTGGGGTAATTTTGCCAAATTTTGGAATTAACCGGAGTTTTATAATGTATTTAGATGTGAAGAACCTCTCTAGTTCTGAAATAACAAAGTTTGCGTGGTTTTAAACGGGTGAATGAGAACATAAACATATTCCATTGTAGTTTTTTGACTCCACAAAATTTTCGTGTTAAAGAAAAACTCGGGTCTTCACTGGTATAATATTTTAGACGTGTTATTCGGATAATTACGGGGTTTGATCACATTTCGGCCGTTCAGTTATTCGCCCAAAATAAACAGTGACCTTCTCAACGGGACTTTATCGTTACTCTTTGAACTACGTATTTAGATGCCACAAAAAACGGATAATTGTAACGAATGAATACAGTTTTAATTTGTAATGTTAAGGTGTAGTGACAAGCGATTCCACAGCCTCCATTACTTATCACTCCCCCCCCCCCCCTTTTGGTCAGAAATCCCCCCTTCACGGCTTAAAATCTAATAGGATTAGAGGTCAGATTGGGTTCTTTCTTATTTGTAAATCGCAAGGGAAATGTACAAGCTCGTAAGTTGCCAGAGGAAAAGTGCCGGAGGCTTGTTGGCATTTGCCGGAGTGCTATGGAGGCTCAGGCGACCACGAATGTGTAACATATTTTTCTTCTCCTCCTCCTCCCCCTCCCCTGCCCCCTCTTCCTTCTTCCTCTTCCAACCACCACCTCGTACTCTCCTCCCCCTTCCTCTTCCAACCTCCTCCTCCTCCCCCTTCCTCTTCCTCTTCTCTTCCTCTCCCTCTCCCTCTCCCTCTCCCTCTCCTCTCCCTCTTCCCCCTCTCCCTCTCCCTCTTCCCCTCTCCCTTCCTCTCCCTCTCCCTCCCTCTCTTTCCAACTTCTTCCTCTTCCCTCTCTCCCTCTCCCTCTTCCAACCTCCTCTACTCCCTCCTCCTCCTTCCTCTTCCCAACCTCCTCCTACTCCAACTCCTCCTACTACTCTCTCCTACTCCTCCTCCCTCCTCCTCCAACTCCTCCTACTCCTCCTACTCCTCCTCCAACCTCCTCCTACTCCTCCTCCTCTCCTCTCCTCCTCCAACCTCCTCCTAAACCTCCTCCTCCAACTACTCCTCCTCCCTCCTCCTCTCCTCCTACTCCTCCTACTCCTCTCCTCCTCCCCTTCCTCCCTCCTCCTCCCCTCCCCCTCCTCTCCTCCTTCCTCCTCCTCCCCCCTCCCTCTTCCTTCCAACCTCTTCCCCCCCCTCCCTCATCCTTCCGACCTCCTCTTCCAACCTCCTCCCCCTCCCCCCCTTTTCTTCTTCATTTGATCAAGAATGTTATTGTTTAAAATACAAGGTTGAACCCCATTTAATCGTAAGATGTGTCCCTAGCAGAAGTTTGGATATGTTCTGTATGATAATGTTTGAAATTCTCCTTCCTTTTTTTCCTCCTCTTCTTTCCTTCTTTTGCTCTTCCTCTTTTCTTCTCTCCTTCTTTTGCTCTCCTTCTTTTCTTCTCTCCTTCTTTTGCTCTTCCTCTTTTCTTCTCTCCTTCTTTTGCTCCTCCTCTTTTCATCTCTCCTTTTGCTCCTCCTCTTTTCTTCTCTCCTTTCTTTTCTTCCTCCTCTTCTCTCCTTTCCTCCTTCTCTTCTCGCCTTTTCCTCCTCCTCTTCTCACCTTCTTTTCCTCCTCCTCTTTTCTCTCCTACTTTTCTTCCTCTTCTTGCCTTTTCCTCCTCCTCCTCTTTTCTCCCCTTCCTCTTTTCCTCCTCCTTCTCTTTTCTCCCCTTCCTCTTTTCTCCCCTTCTCTTTTCTCCTCTTCCTTTTCCTCTTTTTCCTCCTAAACCAATCCCTCTCCCTCTCCTCATCCTCTGCTTTTCTTCCGTCTCTTCCTGTCTTTATCCCCCTAACATTTTCTTCCCATTTTCCTCATTTTGTCTTACCCATCTTTCATCTCTTTATCCTCCTCATATTATCTTCCTTTTCCTGCTCTTCCTTCTTTATCCTCCAGCTCATCCATGTCCCCATCCTTCATTCTCTTCCTCTTGTTCTTATTCTTCCTTTTATTTGCCCTTCCTTTCTTGTGCTCTTCCTGAATGACGAAAAGGTAAACAGTGAGTGCTAAAAGTCCACACAACTCTCTAATGATGATTCAACAAACAATGAACCAAAATAATTTCCTTTGCGTAAATATTCCTTGCATAGATCAAACAGTGCCATGACTTTCTTGCTTCCTCAAAGAAACTGTCTTTTACCAGAATATGCTTGATAGATCTCTGGTTGAGCATAGCTAGAGTGCAGACTCCATGGCATAACAAAAGTGCTTAGTTTTGTAGACTGCCATAATAATTTCCTTTGCGTAAATATTCCTTGCATAGATCAAACAGTGCCATGACTTTCTTGCTTCCTCAAAGAAACTGTCTTTTACAGAATATCAGTTCATAGAAAAACTGATGTAATGTTCTGTTTTGTACAGAATATGATAGTCTGTACAATGTACATCATGTAGTGAATTAATGTCACACAGTAGTATGGAAATAGTCAACAAACCTCCATCAGATATTCTGCTAACGTCTAGTTTGCAGAGCTTCTTGGCTGTTTTATGAAATCAGGAATCATGCCTGATTATTTATTGCTTTGCTTAATAATTTTATCCTTTACAGATTCAGCCATGCATAGAGGCAGAGGTGGATATATTCAGGTAAGTATTCTATTATTTCTGTCTCCTTGACTTCATGATTGGTATTGCAGTTTTAAGTACATTATGCATATGATGTCTATATATGACTATCTGGTTTCAGAGCCTGCTCAAGGCACAGAGGGCAAAGGCTGAGAATGTTACACAGGAAGTGCAGTTGCAATCACACGACAAAAGCCATACCAGGGAGGTGCCAGGGCAACAGATTTCAGATGGCAAGGAAGGCCTATGGCAGGAGTCGCCTGAAAAATGGGCTAAAAGTATTTGGGATGAGTCGCCTATTAAACAAGGTTCATGGCAAGAGTCTCCCCGAAAGCAAGATGCATGCCAAGTGTTGCACAGCAAGGAGGGCACACACCCCATCTCTCAGGATGTTTGGCGAGATTTGCCTAGTCAGCAGAATAAGTGTCGGGTGTTACCAATACACCACAGCACAGGGCAGCAGTTTTGCCCTCAAGGACAGCAGCAGAATTTGAAAAATCAGCAAGACAAACTTCTAAATAACAACAACAACTTAAAGTCAGCAGATATGAATATGAGTAAACAGTTTGAAGATGCAGGCAAGCTCTTTGCATCCATGACTGTCTCAGCTAACAGTCGGCAAGGACAGACACAAAATCCATCTGCAAACAAGGCCACTTCTGGAATGGTAGATGGCAGCAAACAAGGTCAAGGAGGACGTAAGGACCTTCCAGCTTCCACTACAGCATTTGATAAAGTGCCAGTGAATCCTGCTCCCCAAGGCACAGAGGCTAAACAAAATACGGTGAAGTTTTTTTGATCTTGCATATTTTTTTGTTTAGTCTACTTGAAATGTTCATAAGGGAGTTCAGCTTGAAATACTCAAGGCTAAGTATGTTTTTATGGCACTAGTTCGGTTGCTTTTATAGCAAAACTATAAAATGTGTCATTGGCCATACTCATTTAGCTGCATTTGAGGGCCACTGAAAAATTATGATATTCAATTTTAATATGATTTACTTGTTGTGTGTTTGGCTGTATTACAATATCCAACTGATTTTTCTTAAAACAGGCCTGCATTTGCTCCCGTCCTAAGAAAAGAGTCTGGTGTAAGAATTGTGGCAGCATGATAATGGGCCGCATAAACATTGTTTGCCAGGAACATATACAGGTACAGTGACATGCCAGTTCTCATTATAGTGCAGATACCAAAGTAGGAATCTTGTGATCTATATTGAAGTCTTTGGCAACTTTGTAAATACTTCAAATTGTATTTGTGTTAATTATATTTGTGCTCAAAAAAATTTCAGTTGAATATTTACATTAAATACATCCAAGAAACAGTTACAGTCGTAACTGGTGCTTTTTATAATCATAATCAAATCCATATTTTCCAGGTGATGTACTTATCTGACCACAGAAACTGTTGGAGTTGCAGAGCACCACTTGAATATCTGATGGAATTGGATGACGATGTGGTCCTTCCGAAGGCCAAGCCGAAAGATTCTCCCTTACGTAAGAATCGAGTCGCCAACCGGCAGGAGTAATGTTGTGTTGAATGTTTTGCCTGTACTGTCAGATTGAAGTGTGTGATCATGGTTTTGCTATATAGAATGAATTAAAATTAGGGTTCATTCTCAACAGTAGTGTAAATTGTTAGGAGTGAGGTAGATGATTATTAACTAGTCAAGACCATCACTTGATTTAAATGATTGTCAGGCTTTATGAATATTAATGATTACTAGCGGCATTTCTCAGGTGAATGACCTGTATGTGCACACACCCACATTTGCATACATTTTCCAAGAACATCCATAAATGTATATGGACAAAGAGAAACCAGCCCATTACACATCCTTCACATAAAGGATCCCCCAACAATTTAACATTCATAAATGAAAAAGCACAGGTAGAAACAGAAGAGAATGGTAATTGCTACAACACCCAAATTACACATCCCCTCTTAGAACTTTCCTTTCATGAGGATAAACACCATTGCATGTAGATAAAGACACAAGCAGTCACAAATTCCACAGAACAAATTGCAATTACTCAGGTTTACACCTACAGGCACTAACTAAACACTGACATACATGCATGCGTTTACAAGCACACGCACATACACACGCACGCACACACACACACACACACACACACACACACACACACACACACACACACACACACACACACACACACACACACACACACTCACACACACACACACACTCACACTCACACTCACACTCACACACACACACACACACACACACACACACACACACACACACACACACACACACACTCACACTCACACTCACACTCACACTCACACTCACACTCACACTCACACTCACACTCACACTCACACACTCACAAGCACATACACATACACACACAAGCACAAGCACAAGCACATGCACATGCACATACCCATACCCATACCCATACCCATACCCATACACACACTCACAACAGACACACGCATACACATGCACACACACTCACTCATATGCACACATACAGTCATGTATAAACACATTTGCATGTGCACTCACTCACTCACACACACACACACACACACACACACACACACACACACACACACACACACACACACACACACACACACACACACACACACACACACACACACACACACACACACACACACACACACACACACACACACACACACACACACACACACACACCACACACACACACACACTCACACACTCACACTCACACTCACACTCACACGTATACACAAACACACACACAGACACACACCCGTACATATGTACACACACAAACACTCACATGTATAAACACATACGCTCATGTACACACACACTTACAGACATAAGTACACAAGTACAGACATACACAACACACACAAACCACGTACACACACACAAACACGTACACACACACAAAACACGTACACACACACAAACACGTACACACACACAAACGTACACACACACACACACCACGTACACACACACACACACACACACACACACACACACACACACACACACACACACACACACACACACACACACACACGCACACACGCAAACATGTACACACACACACATGTACACAATCAGACATACACACACACATGTACACAATCAGACATACACACACATACATACGCACGCGCACACACATACTCACATACAGACACACACATACTCACATACGGATGCACACACATACTCACATATGCTCACACAAATACACATGCACATATATATGCTCACACATTCTCACATGTTTCCATACACTCAGTCACAATCACACACATTTATATATTCCCATTCATTCACTCTCACTCACTCACATGTGCACACAAGCACACATACTGTATACACACATTCACTTGCACATACACATATCATGCATACACACATGTGTACATATGTACTTACACTCACACACATTTGCTTACACAAATCATATACGCATACATATAAACACACCACACATACACATATTCTTCCACACATGCACTCAAACATGCATACATACATAGATACATTTATGTATACATACATACATACATTCACAGACATAAACACATACACATGCACACACACCCCACCTGCACACACACACAAGCACACACACCCACCCGCACACACACACGCGCGCGCACAGGCACGCATGCACTCACGCAGACTACCCGACTCACACATGCACACACCCAGACTCACACGCCATGCAACACACCCAGACTCTCCACGCATGCTTATGCACACACCCAGACTCACACGCATGCACACACCCAGACTCACACGCATGCACACACCCAGACTCACACGCATGCACACACCCAGACTCACACGCATGCACACCCAGACTCACACGCATGCACACACCCAGACTCACACGCAGGCACCACACCCAGACTCACACGCATGCACACACCCAGACTCTCACGCATGCAACACCCAGACTCGCACGCATGCACACACCCAGATCACACGCATGCACACACCCAGACTCACACGCATGCACACACCCAGCAGACATCCACACACCAGACTCACACGCATGCACACACCCAGACTCGCACATGGCACACACCAGACTCGCACGCATGCACACACCCAGATTCACACATGCATGCACACACCCAGACTCACATGCATGCACCACACCAGACTCACACGCATTGCACACACCCAGACTCGCACGCATGCACAACACCCAGGCATGCACACACCCAGCATCACATGCATGCACACACCCAGACTCACATGCATGCACACACCCAGACTCACACGCATGCACACACCCAGACTCACACCATGACCAGACTGCACACGCATGCACACACCAGACTCACACGCATGCACACAACCCAGACTCCCACGCATGCACACACCCAGACTCACACGCATGCACACACCCAGACTCACACGCATGCACACACCCACACGGCATGCACACACCAGACTCTCACGCATGCACACACCCAGACCCCACGCACACCTGCACGCTGCAGACCCACACGCATGCACACACCCAGACCCACACGCATGACCCACACGCATGCACACACCAGACCCACACGCATCCACACGCGCACACACCCAGACTCTCACGCACACACACACACACACACTAACGCATGCACACACACACACTCACACGCATGCACACACACACACACACACACACACACAACACTCACTCACGCATGCACACACACACACACCACTCACACGCATGCACACACACACACACAACTCACATGAATGCAACACAAACACACACACTCACACGCATGCACACACACACACTCAACAGCAACACTCACACGCACACTCACACACACAACGCACTCACACGCATGCACACACACACACACACACACACTCACACATGCACACACTCACACGCATGCACACACACACACACACACACGCACACACACACACGCACACTCACACGCATGAACACACACACACACACACGCAACACACACACTCACACGACTTGCATGCACACACACACCACACACACATGCACACACACACACATCACCGCACACACACACACACACACACACACACACACTCACACGCTTCACACACACACACACACACACACACGCATGCACACACACACACACACCACACGCATCAACACACACCACACTCACACGCAATGCACACACTCACACGCATACACACACACACACACACTCACACGCATGCACACACACACACACACACACACGCACACAAACACACACACACTCACACCATGCACACACACACACACACACACACAGCACACACACACACTCACACGCATGCACACACACACACACACACTCACACGCATGCACACACACACACACACTCACACGCATGCACACACACACACACACACACACACACACACACACACACACACACACACACACACACACACACACACACACACACACACACACAGTCTCTCTCTTTCTTTTTTGCTCCCTCCCTTCTTTCTCTAATACTTCCTTTCTCTTTATTTATTTATTTATTTTCTTTCTTTTTCTTTCCTCTTCTCATTTCTCTTATTTCTTTCTCCCCCTCCTTTTCTTTCCCTTTCTCCCGCCTTTTCTCATTCCTCTGTATTTTCCCATTTTCTTTTTTCTCTCCATTTCTCTGTCCTCTTTTCTCCTTCTTCTCTTTTTCCCTTTTTTTTCTTCCTCCTCTCTATCTCTCTCTCTCTCTCTCTTCTCTCTCTCTCTCTCTCTCTCTCTCTCTCTCTCTCTCTCTCTCTCTCTCTCTCTCTCTCTCTCTTCTCTCTCTCTCTCTCTCTTCTCTCTCACGCGCAGGCGCACAAAACGTATGGGCATTTATGAGTAGACTGTTTCCATTTCTCCATTTTTTCCCCACATCCTCCTTTCTTAACTTTTCTATCCTCTCCCCTCCTTTGGCTCCCATTTCCCACAATTCCTCCTGTCTCCCCGCTGCACTGCTATCCTTACCTCCCCTGCCTTCCTCCTCCTATTTTCTTTCTTTCTTTCTTTCTTTCTTTCTTTCTTTCTTTCTTTCTTTCTTTCTTTTTTTCTTTCTTTCTTTCTTTCTTTCTTTCTTTCTTTCTTTTCTCTTTCTTTTTCTTCTTTCTTTCTTCTTTCTTTCTTTCTTTCTTTCTTTCTTTCTCTTTCTTTCTTTCTCTTCCTTCCTTCCCTCATCTTTATGATTTTTCTTATTTTTAGGGACAAAATATGTGAGTATTTGGCATTAATTTTTTTCAGGCAATTAAATTCTGTTATAGAAAGGTATAAGGCAAATTTAAAAATACTTTTACTCTTCGAGTGTCATTGTTAATTTACAGTGGTCATTTGTCTTGTATATAGTTGAACCTTGGTTAACATCAGGGCAATGTTCCTGAAAGCTGTGATATAGATCTAGAACCTTGTGAATTTTTTATTTATGTTTGTGAACAGAAGTACTCCATTGTTTTCATTCTTTTTTGTGATGGAAAACAGTTTAGTTGCAGGTTTGATGTGCTGGATGGTTTGGATGTGAAAGTGAGTGGGATATGTAAATAAAATTAAAAAATAATAAAAGGTGTTGACAGAGTATATGTAAGGATGGCATTGTTACTGGCCATTATTTAATAGTGTGATCATTGATCAAATACATCTGGATTTGATATGTGAAGTATAGGATTTATAATTTGATTTATGGTTTGGATTTATTGGATGAAAACATGAGCTCCAAGGCAACAGATGGCTATCCTTTTTCTTGTCTAAATTCATTAGATTTTGTCTCGCATTAAATTTTCTCAACCTATGCATGTATTTTGGTAAGAAAGGACTTTTTTTCTATCATTATTTCTTTATTTTATCTTGAGCATATATATATACAGACTATTGGATTTTTGCTCATTTACCCCACCCCTATTGTTAGTAAATATGGAGAGTCAACTAACCAGATAAAGAATGTTGTTATGTAAAAAAGATCCGTAAATACCAATCAAATTTAGCTTTAATGATACTTTAAACTACACAAAGTTAGTATACTTGATTAAACACTGAGCCCGTCTTTGCTTTGGTTGAGTTTTATAGCATCTTTCAGGTGATTTAGAGTTCTAAATCTATCAGGTATTATTAAGGAAAACAGT